CGACTCACCAGCCACTGAATTCATGTCCTTCTTGTGACTACAATCTTATTGGCCCAACCTTATACATACGCGTTTGCTTGCTCTTAAGCATGCTGTGCTAGGCTTGCACTAAGACTTCTGCTTCCCATACACTCTTGTAGTGTTCTTCCTTCGGGCTCACACGAGGCGTTAGTCAGATGGGAATATCGCAGCTTTTGGCACCGTTATAACATTTGGCGACGCAGACTCGGATTCACTATGCCCATTTCCGCGGATCAACTGCAGTCTATCTTAAAACAGCAACAAGCTCAGTTTGAGGAGGCTCACATGAAGATGATGGAGTCCATGATCCTTAAAACCTTATGTTATAAACTAATAATATTAAAGTATAAAAGTAGTATTATTATGGTAAATTGTCAGCGGCGGTCCGTTCGTATTATAGCGCGCACTGCTATATCGATCCAATTTTGGCTTAGGAACCTAGGGATTCCGACGAAATCCAGAGGTAGAGCATTCCAAGCTTCGACCACTCTTTTGGAGAAAAGGTGATTTCAAGTGTTCAGTCTGGCCCCAGTCACACGTAATTTAAGAGGATGGCCTCTCAAATTTGTTGTTTTTGCTAACTCGAAATCTCCAGATAGAAGACAACAGTCCCGAACACGAAACATCCGGAATGTTAGTATCAGGTCCCCCAAAGTTGCCTGTAGCGCAATGGAAATAGATTGATATTCGACAGCCGTGTTCTATAAGACCGTGAACCCTGCCCAATAACAAATTTGGTTGCACACCCTTGAACCCTTTCGAGGATGTTGATTTCTTCCGCGGCCCAGGGTCTCAAAGCTAGGAAAGCAGATTCCGTTTGCGGTCGTACGAAGGTTCCGAAGAATTTTGTGACGCAGTCTTCATCGAAGGCAGAAAAAGGTCGCTTGACGAGGTATAGAACCGACATCGAATAATTGGCCACCTTTGCGCAATGCAGGGATGGTTTAAGCGAGGGCGTGATCCGGACTCCTAAGTCCTTCTGGGCTTCTACCTCTGTCAATGGTACGTCATTTAGCCGATAAACTGTACTGTTCGAAGAGCTGAATTTACCGACTCGTATGATGTTGCACTTGCTCTCATTAAACGGTAAGACCATTTTTCGAGCCGATTCAGATTTGCCTGCAAGTTCTCTTCGTCAACCCCAGTTCAAATGACGCGTCAGAGCTTGGTACCATCGGCGAACATGGCGATACCACAATCCAGTTCGCTGACGCAATCGTTGATGAAGATAATGAACAAAATTGGGCCTCGAGGAACACCACTCTCAACCGTAACTATGGCTGACTGTTTGTCGCTGATATGGACAGTTTGCGAGCGGCCGATTAGGAAGCTTTCTATCCATGCAAGAAGCTTACCTCTTACTCCTATTCGGCTGATTTTATAAAGAAGGCAGTGGTGCGGCACGCTATCGAAAGCCTTTTGGAAGTCAATATAGACTGTGTGCACTGAATTACCTCTATCGACTGCCTCAGTCCACCGTTCTAAGCAGTAGAACAATTTTTTTACGCCGGGTCTACCTCTGCGAAAACCATGCTGGACATCTGAAAGCAGATGGTTTTGTTCCAGGAACTGCAATACTTGTTGCTTGATTATTTTTAATCCCTAAATTTGCTGGCAGATTGCAGTAAGGCTGACCGGTCGATAATTCTTTGCAGAGACCCGGCTGCCACCCTTGTAGAGCGGCGTAATCCTCGCGGTTTTCCAATCGGCTGGTAGGCATCCGGTCTCGAAGGATGTTTGGAAGAGCGTAGAAAGTGGTTTTGCAAACTCACTGTCGAGCTCTTTCAAAATCTTAGCCGGTCCTTCATCGGGACCCGGTGATTTAGATTCCTTTAACCCTAAGAGTTCTTTAAGAACAAGAGCCTCTGTGAATTGAATAGTCTCGACTATTGTATCCACGTC